AAAAAAAAAAAAAAATAGCTGGGCATTGTGCTGGGCGCCTGTAGTCCCAGCTACTCGGGAGGCTGAGCCCAGGAGATTAAAGTTGCTGTGAGTTATGATATCATTGCACTCTACCGAGGGCAACAAAATGAGACTCTGTCTAAAAAAAAATAAACAAAATAAAACAATCCTTTGAGGTGCATGAGGCTATTATTCCCATCATTCAGATTAGAAACAGGCACAAAGCTTAAATGACTTGGCCAATGTCACTAAACCTCTTATCACTCAGGATTGGAACCTACCAGGGTAGGGTTCAGAGCTCACGCTGTCAGTCGCTAAACTATAATGCATAATATGCCGAGAGTACACATATTCACATATTCCAGAAAAAGGAATATGTGAGATCTAGACACACAAAAACAAGAACAAAATTTTCAGGTAAATATTAAAAGGAATTCCCCAGCCTTTTCTTTGTAGACAATGGGGGCCTTTTGTTGTCTTTGATAAACATATCTTGCTCTGTAAACCTATATATCTTGCTTTTGCTCTGTAAACCTGTATTTCTCTTCCTCAATAAACTTTGTTTTACCCTTAAAAATAAAGTCCCCAAATCCCATCTGAGCCAATGACTAAATACTGGGTGTGTCTGAATACATTTGGAAAGATTTTCCCAGTTTTCTGGATGTTTAGATGAACTAACTAGTAATTAGAACAGAGAAAAACTAAGCAAACAAAGTATAAATCAGTTATTAACATTAGAGCAGATGGGGCAGTGCCTGTGGCTCAGGGGTTAGAGCACCGGCCCTATATACCAAGGGTGGTGGGTTTAAACCCAGCCCTGGCCAAATTGCCAATAGCCAGGCATTGTGGCGGGTGCCTGTAGTCCCAGCTACTCAGGAGGCTGAGGCAAGAGAATCGCCTAAGCCCAGGAGTTGGAGGTTGCTGTGAGCTGTGACGCCACAGCTCTCTATCGAGGACAATAAAGTGAGACTCTGTCCCTAAAGAAAAAAAACATTAGGACAGATGAAAGTTGTACAGGAAAATAAAATGTAATCATGGTTGGCTCATTTATAGGGGCAGTGCCAGCGGCTCAGAAGGGCAGGGCACCGGCCCCATATGCTGGAGGTGGCAGGTTCAAGCCAAAAAAGATTAATAACCCCCCCCCCAAGTGATATAAACCTTGGAAAGATAAGAGATAGTGAAGTACATACAGGTATCAGCTAAATACACAGCAAGATTCCTTATACGTATATGTGTATCAACAGTAAAAAAAGAGTATAGGCATTTAAATTACTTCATTAGAAATACAGGAGTCTAGGGCGGCGCCTGTGGCTCAAAGGAGTAGGGCACCGGCCCCATATGCCAGAGGTGTGGGGTTCAAACCCAGCCCTGGCCAAAAACTGCAAAATAAATAAATAAATAAATAAATACAGGAGTCTAGAACAAAATTTTAAGAAGTTTTTGTCATCTGGCCTTCCATCCTGGGATCTCTTGACCTCCTAAATGTTTGGGATTTTTTGTTTGTTTGTTTTTTGAGACAGCGTCTCACAGCTCACAGCAACCTCAAACTCTTGGGCTCAAATGATTCTCTTTCCTCAGCCTCCCCAGTAGCTGTGACTACAGGGCCTGCCACAATGCCCAGCTATTTTAGAGATGGGGTCTTGCTCAGGATGGTCTCAAACCTGTGAGCTCAGGCAATCTACCCGCCTCAGCCTCAGCCTCCCAGAGTGCTAGGATCTAAATTATTTTTAAAAACTGCATACACCCAGCTTAGGGGCCCATAACACAGTGGTTACAGTGCCAGTCACATACACTGAGGCTGGTGTGTTTGAACCTGGCCTGGGCCAGGTAAAAAACAACAATGACAACTGCAACAAAAAATAGCTGGGCACTATGGCAGGCACCTATAGTCCCAGCTACTTAGGAGGCTGAGGCAAGAGAATCTCTAAAGCCCAAGAGTTTGAGGTTGCTGGAGCTGTGATCCCAAGGCACTCTACCAAGGGCGACATAGTGAGACTGTCTCAAAAAAAGAAACAAAACAAAACAAAAACAGCTCAGCACCTGTGGCTCAAGTGGCTAAAGCGCCAGCCACATACACCTAAGGTGGCGGGTTCGAATCCATCCTTGGCCCACCAAACAATGACGTCTGCAACAAAAAAATAGCCGGGCGTTGTGGTGGGCGCCTGTGGTCCCAGCTACTTGGAAGGCTGAGGCAGGAGACCGCTTCAGCCCAGGAGTTGAAGGTTGCTGTGAGCTGTGATGCCACAGTACTCTACCCAGGGGGATAGCTTGAGGCTCTGTTTCAAAAAAAAAAGAAAAAAGAATGCATACACCCTTTGGGTCTTAAGTCCTATGACTTTTGAGAAATAGGTACACTCATTAAATTTTAGACTCTCCTAATGCATATATTTGAGAGGAATATGCAAGTCACTGTCAATGGCTATATTCCAATAAAATTTTATAGAAACCGAAATTTGTATTTCACATAATTTTGTCATGAAACATCCTTTGTGTTTTCCCATTTACAAATATATTAATCACTCTAAGTTGCAGGACATACAGAAACAGGTCCAGACTGGATTTGGCCTGTGAGCTGTAATTTGCCAGCTCCTGTCCTAAAGCAAAAGCAAAGAGAATGCAGATGGTAGATTTCTGTCACTGAGGTTCCCAACAGCCAGTATTTCCCCAGAAAAGAAAACCCAAGCACATGGACAGATACTACACCTGAGAGTCAGCTAACACTGACCCCGTAAGACAGCCTTGACTCTTATCTCTGCTCTCTTTTTCCCCTCAATCTTGAGGACCAGAGACTACAAAAAGCAAAGGGGGCTGGAAAGGAAGAAGAAAATCAAAGGGCTGAGACAGTTAAGAAAGCAACTCGCTCCCTCTCTGCACTACTGGCTTCCCAGCCAGAGCTTTCCCCAAACTGAAAGGAAACAGGAGGGAGGAGTGAAGGGATGGGGCTTTATAATGGAATAGAGATTTTTAGATTAGATGAGGCCAGACTTTACATTTCCAGAAGCAAACTCTAAACTATCAGCCCAGATTCACAAAAGTGTTGCAAAGAACTGACAATGTTTAAAGCCAGTGTTAATAAAGTCGGGGGGTGACACCTGTGGCTCAGTGGTTAAGCACCTGGCCCCACAGATTGAGGGTGGAGGGTTTGAACCCCGCCCCAGCCAAACTACAACAAAAAAAATAGCCAGGGGTTCTGGGGGGCACCTGCAGTCACAGCTACTCGGGAGGCTGAGGCAAGAGAATCACCTAAGCCCAGGAGTTGAAGGTTGCTGTGAGCTGTGATGTCACAGCACTCACCGAGGGTGACATAGTGAGACTCTGTCTCAAAAAAAAAAAAAGAAAAAGAATAAAGTTGCTCTCTATTTTCACACCACTAAAGATTATCTCATTCAATACGTCAGTTATGGAACCCAAGGACCTTTACCCAGAATACGTAAAGAACACTTACAAATCAATAAATATCTTCAGAAAAGAAAACGTAAAGTGGGCAAAGGAAACAAATAGACAACTCAAAAAAACAGAACTAAAAAACAAAAAAGACGAATAAATACGAAAAACATTCAACTTCCCAAATAGTCAAGGAAATGCAAACAAAACCAGGTATCACCTCACGCAGATTAGGCTGGAAAAATGTTCAAAGTCCGACAATACCAGGTGTTAGTAAGAATCTGGCTAAATGAATGAAGTCAGAGAGCAATGCACCAAATAAGTATGCTTTGTACCCTTTAGAGGTGTGTTAACAGCGAGCAGTCAGTACCATTCGAATAGAAAAAGTAAAGACGCAGGGCTACCTATTCTTCGCTTTGACAAGAGGGAGGAGGCCTATTCTTGCGTAAGAACACCAACTGCGTAAACAAGGTTTAAAACTTTTTTAGAATAATCAGGTGAGAAAGCCACGCCCACATTTTAAGGAAGGGAAATCCTATCGTATTGCTTGACCGCTCCCAACGATTTGAGATATGCTAGCAGCGTTTCCAAGAACTCGAAACGCACTGAAACAAACGCAAGGCAGGAGGAAGAGCAGATCCTGAGGGCTTCCACTCCGTGGGAAGCCGGACAAACTGAAACGCATAGACTAATCCCGCCAGACTCTCGCCGAAGGCAGCCTCGGAGCCTGGTCAGCTGCCCGGAGGTCAAATCCGTGAGCATATCTAACCCTAAATCCCGGCTCCCTTCCCATCCTGGCCCGCAGGCTGGAAATGGTCAGGGGCCCCGCGGCTCCTGGGTCGGGCGGGTCGGCCGCCGAGGTCTCTCCCCCGGAGGAAGGCTTCCAGGCAGCCAGGCATAAGATAAGAGGAGGGGCCGCAGCCCCGGCCCGCCCCGAGTCGAGGAAAGCAAAACAGAAACCCAAAGCGGAGGCAAAGGGACGCGGCCCGCCCGCGCCGCCCTAACCCTGCCCGCCGCCGAGCCGCTCCGCCGACAGGAGCGAGATGGCGGCCCCCTCCCCGAGCCCCGCCGCGGCCCCCACCGCCCTGCCGAGCCCACGAGTCGCCACCGCCCACTACCGGCCCCCCCCTCACTTGCCCGCCTGCCCGCCCTTCTGGGACATGGCCCGCTCCACCCCTTGCGGCTGCTCACCGCGCTGAGGCGGATCCCGCTGGGTGGCTGCGCCGCCATCTTGAGCAAGCTACAAAGCCAGGAGCGGCATCGGCCGCAACCCGACTGGCAGGTGGCGGAGTAACTGTGGGGCCCGCGGGCCCGCCCACTTCCGGGGCGGGCCGCAACGTTGGCCCCTCCCATCAACTTCCGCCTCCAGGCGAAGCCGAATTGGGAGTTAGGGGAAAGTAAATTGCGGAGCAGCTACTCGCGGAGTACACTGGGAGCTCGGCTTGGAGAGTGGGGTCCTGCGGGGCTAGAGCGCATGCGTTAGGCGCTGCGGTCGCGTTTTTTTAGCGGACACCTCGTTGGGGCCCCAGCCTCGGGGATCCAAGTTTGAAGCCAGTTGTTAAGTCCGTTGTGGCCGAGGCTGGTGAACTGGAAGCCCTTGACCTGGTAGTTTGTGAATTGCACCGAAAAAGAAAAAAAAAATCCCAGGTCCACAAGTGTCAAATGTCACTTGAAACCTATTGACAAAATGAAGATCTCAAAATAGGAATTAATGTGTACTGTTTGGATATGCCCTGAAAAATTTTTTCTTTTATGCAACAGGGTGTGTTTCCTAGTTGCTTGGGTAGGCATTTAGAAAAGGATGGGGTTGGTTTTGTTTCTTGAAAGTCTTATTCTGTTGCCTCAGGCTAGAGTGTCTTGGCGTCAGAGCTCACAGCAACCTCAACTCCTGGGTTCTAGCTATCCTCCTGCCTCAGCCTTCCCAGTAGCTAAGACTGCAGGCGCCCACCACTATAGCCCTTGGCTAGTTTTCTATTTTTAGAGACGGGGTCTCGCTCTTGCTCAGGCTGGTCTCTTAACTCCTGAGCTCAAGCAATCCACCCACCTCGACCTCCCAGAGCGCTGGGATAATGGGAGAGCCACTATACTGGGCTAAAAGGAATAGGTCTTGCCCTGTCTCCCAGCCTGGGGTGCAGTGGCCTCATCATAACTCATTGTAATCTCAAACTCCTCAAATCAAATGATCTTCCTGCATAAGCCACCAAGTAGCGGGAACTACATGTGCACGCCACCACACGTGGCTATTTTTTCTAAATTTTGTAGAGCCGGGGGTCTCACTGTGTTGCTCAAACTGATCTCGAACTCCTGGCCTCACTCGATCCTCATGCCTCAGCCTCCCAAATTGCTGGGATTACAGACATGAACCACTACACCAGCGATGACCTGAAAATTATCAACCTAAATACTGACTTTAAAAAAAAAGTCTTTTTGCCCACACACATTATTCAGCGTGGACTTTGAGCTCAGCATTGGACTGAGTGGGACATAGAAATGAATACTATAAGGGCTACCAAATACTGCAGGTAAGGAAAGGATTAAAGGTTTTTTATGATTGTTAATTTATTTTATTTGTAAAAATTTAAATAATACAGAAATATAAGACATAAAATTGGCTCGGCGCCCATAGCTCAACCGGCTGAGGCGCCAGCCACGTACACCTAAGG